GGGGGAAGCCAGCTGAGGTGGGAGTAGGAAGATGGAGATGGGAAACAGAGCAGGTGAAGGTGAGGGGTGGAGGGAAGAAATGTACACAGGAGAATGGAAAAACAAAAGAGATGCTGATGAGTGTGGCTCCCAGGGCTCCTGAGAACAGAGGGGAAGGGACAGCAGCAGGACCATGTCCTGGGTCTGCCCCCTAGTCCTACACAGGAGACAAGTAGGCAACCTGACTCATACCCTCCAAAGGTTACTTGCTGGCCACATGTGGACACACTTTGAGTTGGGAAACCTTGCCCTGAGACCTGGCCACTTTGCCCATATGACACCCTCTGTATTTATTCCCAGGCATGGTAGCACTCTACTTACTGGTCTTGATCCCAACTCACCGAGCTCAGGTATGGGGAGGGGGCTCCAGAGGTCTGCAGGGGAAATCCTGTTGAAGGAGGCAAGGAGAGGCTGGAAGGGGATGGGGCACCCCCCATCGGAGGACTTCTCTTCCTGAAGAAGGAATAGGGAGAAGGGTTAGAGACAGCTGGAAAGCTCAGATCCCCACCCCTGCCCTGGAAAATTACAGCTCCTCCTTACCTCTTGGGGGCTGGTGTGTCAGACAACTTGGGTGTCCCCTCTGTCTCACTGTTATCTGAAGATGCAGTGGCATCTGAATCTGTGGGGAGGGCTGGTCAGTGAGGTTGTAGAGTTTCCCATCCACCTCAGAGGACTGTAACCTCAACACTATAGCAGGGGGCTAGGAAAGGAGACTTCCCATTCAGCACACCTGCAGGCACAGGATTCTGGAGAGTCCCTCGGCTTTCATACCTATTTCCTATGTAGGTACCTCCATGGCACACTTGCCAGCACATACTATGTGCCAGGCTCCTGGTCTTTTTAAGCACAGAAGGAAAAGGCAAGCACATCACATCGGCTTTCCAGATGGTCTCACTGACCTCAGAAAGTATGGAACCTGAACTCAGGTCTGTGACTGTTTGACCTTCTTAGACCACTCTTTCAAATGTCTCTAGGTAACTTGCAGCTTCTGCTCCATATTCCTTATTTGGGGACCCATTAAAACACCCCTCAAAACTATCTTCTTCCTCTGCTCTACATCCCAACTGCCACAAGTTCAGCCCACAATCACCACCATGTCAAAATCACCGGCTCAGCCATCTTACCACTCTGCCACCTACTGTTCAACCCAATTTAATAACTCTGTCCACATGCAGTGTTTTAGCCATGTTTATCTGTCTTCAGTTTACCCTAAGGAAGACTAAGTAAGGACTTGCCCCAGGGCACCTGGCTCATTGCATCGCTTTACTTCAGAACTGCAATCTGGGCCCCCAAGAGCTCTTTATGGTAGCAGCCCTATTCTTCCAAAAGGAGGTCTACTTCCTAGCTCTGTGTTTTCACTAGAAGGCTTGCCTCTCACTTAGTAATCACTATACATGATATATGTTATCTTCTGCTCAGATCCTTGATTTATATTTGAGACACAGTCTCAATATATGTGTATCTCTAGCTGGTCTGGAACACAGACAGACCTTCCTGCTATTGCCTCCCTAATATAATATTTTTATGTTTAGGTGTTTGTGTATGTATGTGTACCATGTTCATGCCCAAGCCTGAGGGAGTCAGAAGGCATTCAACCTCCTAGGATAGAGTGAAGTGGCTGTAAGCTACCATGCAAGTACTGGAACTGAACCCAGGTCCTTTCCAAGAGCAGCAGGTGTTCTAAACTACAGGGCCATCTCTTTAGCTCTTTGGTTGTAATTTAAAGTTAATTGTTAAGGAATACTTAAGTTGGGCCAGGCAGTGGTGATGCATACCTTTAATCTCAGCACTTGGGAGGCAGAGGCAGGCAGATCTCTCAGTTTGAGGGCAGCCTGATCTCCAGAGGGAGTTCCAGGGCAGCCAGGGTTGTTACACAGAGAAAACCCTTAAGTTGGAAAAAATAGCCTCTGTGCACACTAGCCTGGCTCACTCTCATTACAGTTTTCACCTAGAAAGCTCTAGCCCTGTCTTCACAGGTAAACTGCTGCTCCAATTCTAAACACCTTTTAAAGAGCCTTTTTCTCATTCATACACAATTCAGACCCTACATGCTTTTGTGTGATTTACAAGCTAGAATGACTTTAACACTTTGCTGGCTGTTGTTTTTAGTCAGGATCTCTGTAATCCCAGTTGGCCTGGAACTCAATGTAGTAGACTAGGCTGGCTTTCAAATAGGTGATTCTCCTGCCTCAGGCTCCTAAGTGCTACTATTACACCCATATTCCACCATAGCCAACTGTATTTCATTTATTTAATTTTGGTTTTTGAGACATAAAGTCTTACTTTGTAGCTCAACCTGGCTTGGAACTTAGAGTTATCTTCCTGCCTCATGCTCGGCTGCGATTATAGGTATAAGGCACCCTGCCCAGGCGGCTTTTGCATTTGTAGCTTTTTACTTTTATTTATTTAGAGATGGGTATGATGTAGCTGAGGTTGGCCTTGAACTTCTGGTCCTCCTGCCTCTACCTCATAAGGGGGACTAGAATTAAAGGCCTATGCTACCATGTCTTGCTTTTCACACCACCCTCATCACATTTTTGAAACATGGTCTCATTATGTAACTAGGTTGGAATTCATATTTAGTTTTTAAAATTACATTTACTTATTTGTGTGTATATAGGTGCATGCATGTAGAGGTTAGAGATACAACCTAAGGGAACCATTCTCTCCTACAATGTTGGTCCTGGGGAATTGAACTCAAGTATCCAGGTTCTACTAGTAACAAGTGCCTTTACTTAATAAGGCATCTCAAAAGAAGCTGGGGGAGAGGGACAGGAGAAAAGGCCCAGTAGTTAAAGAAGACCTGGGATTGATTTCAAGTACTCCCCTCACTGAACACAACCATCTATAACTCATTTGAAAAGATCCAATGCCCTCTTCTGGCCTCTGCAGGGACTGCACGGACATGGCACACAAACATACAAGCAGGCAAAACACCCATACCCATAAAATTAAGTATCTTTTAAAAAACAAAGCTGTGGGTAGCGGGGTGTGTGGTGGTGGTGGGGGTGTATGTGTATGGTGGTGACACAAGCATGAAATCCCAGCACTGGGGAGACTGAGGGGTAGGGACTGTGATTTTGGGACCAATAAAAGCTACAAATGAAGAACGTACTTCAAAAACATAAAAAATAATAAAGGTTATAAAACTTTAAATTCAAAATGTAATGCTCGCAAATAAAATTCTAATAAAACACAGCCATTTTGTTTATTAACATGCTGGCTACAGCTGCTTTCACATATGCAGTTTGCTTCAAAGACAATATTTTACAAAGCCAACAATATTTTCTTGACCCCTTGAAAAAGAAATTTATCAACTCCTGTTATACTATAGTTATTACCATTTAACTCTTTTAATTTTCATCAAATTCCTATTATCACTTAAAATTCTAGTTTTTTTTTTCTTTAAAAAAATTTCAAGGGATTTTATTATTACTGTTAGTGTGTTTGTGCAGACACCCACATGCTATGGCAAATGTTTTGAGGCTAGAAGACACTTTCACAAGTTTTTCCCCTCCTTTGCATGTTCCAGGAATCAGACCCCTTTGTTTTTAAAGACTGGGTTTTGCTCATGAACCTTATGCTTTTGCCTCTTTTTGTTTGTTTGTTTGTTTGTTTGTTTGTTTGGTTGGTTTTCGAGGCAGGGTTTCTCTGTATTGTTTTGGAGCCTGTCCTGGAACTTGCTCTGTAGACCAGGCTGACCTCGAATTCACTGAGATTCATCTGCCTCTGCCTCCCGAGTGTTAGGATTAAAGGCGTGTGCCACCAACGCCCTGCTGCTTTTGCCTCTTGAGTGATGGTATTACAGGCATGGGGTACTACACCTTTCTAGTTCATTTTTTCTTTTAACAGGTATATAAATGACAAGAGGCCAGGGGCCTGGAACACGGTGGATAAGTTAATACTTAAAGACTCTCCAGGCATGGTGGCACAAGCCTTTGATCCCAGTACTTGGGAGGCAGAGGCAGGGGGGTTTCTGAGTTGGAGGCCAGCCTGGTCTACAGAGTGAGTTCCAGGATAGCCAAGGCTACACAGAGAAAAGAAAGGAAAAATGTGGGGAGAAGGAAGGGAGGAAGCAGAAGGCAAGCAACAAGGCTTAAAGGGCTGCACCAGCTTCCTCATGCCAGGAGTAAGTGTTTAAAGTGCCAGTATCTCATGTCTTCCCGCAAATGTTCATGACTTTGCTCACCGGAAGAATCTTCATCCACGTTCTCGTACTGCAGAAGTCGATCTAGAAGGAAACTGGGAGAAGTGGGAAAGAGAATGATCATTCTCATTTTAGCAATGTTCTTCGGTTAGACATCTATCTAGTTCCTTCTAGGAGGCCCACTGGATCCTCCTAGGAGCGCATGCATTTGTGGTCCTATTCCGGGATGGAGCGAGAACGAGGATTCCATAGGTGTAGCATCGCCCCTTCCCTCAACAAGCCTTACCTCTTGTCCCGGGAAACCTTCAGCAATTTCCTCTGCGCCTTCCTGAGCTCCTCCTGGAAACACTCATGTTCCTGTATCGGACAGGGTGAGTGCTGAGCCAAGAGCAATCCGTAAAAGCCCCAGGACCCAGAGACATCTCTCCCTCTCTATCCTTTTTACCACATGGGTAAACTGAGGTCCTCCCAGCGTTGGGCCTCACCCACAACCTCCCCACGCCAGCACTCACATAAATGAGGAACTTGAGTTTCCGCTTCAGATTCCTGTATTTCTTTTTGTAGTCCACTTCGCCGTCCGCTGGTCCGTTCATGACCCGCCTGGGAGTATCGCCCCAGAGTCGAGTACCGCTACCCAGAGCCAAGTCGGCCTGGCCTCTCACACTTCCACTTCCGGAGACTTAGTAACGTCGTACGAAGTGGACTACAACTCCCGGCGTGCTCCGCGAGCAGGAAGCGTAATGACACTGCCCGCCCTCCAGGGGACGACCCCAAAGGAACGCTGTTTCCAGTGGCTTCGCGATGCGCTGAGGTCACAGAGGAGCTGGACACTGAAGGGCGCAGTATTCTAAGCTGGTTTATTCACTTGGAGTCATAAAAGGTAACCAGAAATTCAGGGTGTTAGCGAGGATGCCCTTTCCTTTCTGCCTTTCGAAACAACAGACCTAATTTAGTGATCCTGACTACAGAGCAGTGTGAAGAGTTAATTACGTTACATCAGAGATTTCCGGCGGCGGATCGGCTTCTAATGATAGTTTCAATAAGTAGTTTTTAACAAAGAGCAGAAACCTCGAGACCCACCCCCTGCTTAGTAAGGAAAGCAAAATCTGGCCAAGTTCTCCGTCCCAGTACTCCGCGTTGGAAGCCCAACGGTCCCGCCCCTCACGGAGCCGCGTCACTGCGCGTGCGCAAGCTGCTGTCACGCGCCCTGAAGGCGGCCCGGAAGAAAAAAGGCGGGAGCCACCAATCCCCGGTGGTGTAAAATGGCGCTGGGAGATGAGATGCTGGAATTCACGCGCAGCTTCTTCCGAGGTTGCCCTGACCTCAGGTGCATAGGGTATTAAAGTCTGGGTTGAAAAGGGCAGGGGTTGGACTGGGACCCCGTCTTGACACGTGTCTTTGTAGCACGGTTACGCACTCCATTGTACGACAGAAATTTTTGACCCATGTGGGCCGGGATCACCTTGAACCTGAGGAGAAGCAGGCGTTGAAGCGGCTGGTGGAGGAAGAGCTGCTGAAGATGCAGGTGTGGGCGTGAACTTGGGCCAGGAGAGACAGGGTTTGTTGCTGAGGGGTTGGGACAGGACACAACTTTGGTTCCATTTGCCCTCATGCTGCACCCTCAGGCGGATGCTGGTACCAGAGAAGGAAAGCTAGACTTTACCAAAGTGAAGAGGTCTCCTGCTCCCTGCAGTGACCCAGAGAGAAAAAGGTCTCGCTTCAATTCAGAGTCAGGTTAGTGCCTTCTCCCCCACTTATCTGTGACTGCAGCATCCATCATTGGTTTATTCACAAGGCCATGTATTACGTTGCAAGGCAGTAAATGAGTGGGCAAACAGTGAGTCAGGAACCAGGTGAAATCATAGCTGTGGTGCTTCCTGCTGTCCTTCACTCTTAACCAGAGTAGAGCTACAAGTACCCTATCCTGAATGTAAGGAACAGGAGGAACCTATCCCAGCCCTGCCCCCATGTTCCAGATTCCAGCTCTACATCATCCAGTCCAGACTGCTCAGGACCCCCCAGAAAGAACAGCACAACAAAGGAGAAGCCATGTTTGAAGAGAGCCTTAAATAAAGCAGTTGAGAGCAAAAAGGAAGAACAGCAAACAGACCTGGTTGTCAAGATGAGACTAGAGGAGAGCAGTGACGAGGAAGGGGAGGGCTCTGTCAGATCAAATAAGGTCTGGGAAGAAGAGGACACTGAGGAAGATGATGATGTGAAAAAAGAACAGAAGGGCAGGTCTAAAAAGAAAGCTGGGGCCAAGAACAAGCAAACACCAAGCAGGGCCTCAGACAATCAGAAGCAGGTCAGCGAAGAAAGTGATAGTGAGGAAGAAGCCATGCAGGGTAGAGCAAAGGTGAGGAAAAGCGCAGGTACTAAACGCCACAAGGAAAGTGAAGACAGCGAGGAGGAGACCCTAGCCAAGAAGAAAGAGCACAGGGAACCCAGACCCAGGAGCAACAAAGGGGAGAGAATGAGCTATAAGCAGAAAAACAGGGTTGGGAGGCTAACTGGAGGCTTGGGAGACAGCGAGGAAGAGAAGGAAAGGGGGGCAGTAAGTAGTGGGGACAGCAGCGGGACGGAAGACGAGAGCTCATCTAAGAGAAAGAGCCAGGACAAGATTCAGGCTGAGAATGGGAGAAGGCCGAGTGCAAGCAGTGAGGATGGGGAAAGCAGCACACAAGAGCTAACAGCTGCTCCAGGCACTGCCAAGACAGGCACAGTAGGCTGCGTTAATAGTGAGAGTGACATGGAGAGGGAAGTGAGCGACTCTCGGGCAGGAGAGAGCACCAAAGAGGAAAGGAAGAACCGCTCTTCCAAGAAGAGCTCCAAGAAAGGCAAGGCACGAAGTTCCTCATCAGATTCAAGTCCAGAACCCACAAGTCAGAAGGTGAGAGGGCATACAGGTGGGTGGCCTCCACCAGGGAAAAGGCTGGGCCTTCAGCTGCAAATTCCTTATTAGGTTGGGTCTCGTCACCGAAGAGAGGACCATCCAGCTGTGGTGAGACTAAAGCGTTATATTCGGGCTTGTGGTGCCCATCGAAACTACAAGAAGCTGCTGGGTTCCTGTCGCTCCCACAAGGAGTGCCTGAGTGTCCTCAGGGCTGAGCTGGAAGCACTTGGCATGAAGGGTGAGACTGGGTGTGCCTGAGAGCTGCAGGAGGGCCTGGGCACTGGGGAAGAGAGGCTCACAAGCTATTTCTGCTCCAGGCAATCCTTCCTTGGAGAAGTGTCGGGCCCTGAAGGAGCAGCGGGAAGAAGCAGCTGAGGTGGCTTCCTTGGATGTCGCCAATATCATCAGCAGTTCAGGTAAGGAATGTCCTCCTCAGGAAAGGACGAGGCTAGGGTCAGATAACTAATTTTCTTTCCCCACCTCCCAGGTCGACCGCGAAGACGGAATGCCTGGAACCCTTCAGGGGAAGGAATCCCCCCAGGGGAGCTTTATCGCAGAGCTCTGGACTCAGAAGAGGAGAGGCCACGCCAAGCACCTCCAGACTGGTCTCATATGCGGGGCATCATCAGCAGTGATGGTGAGAGTAGCTGAACTCCATGTCCCAGGATGGACCTTACCCTGTTATACAAGAGCCTGTGGCACTGAAGCAGCTTTCAAAAAGACTATTCCCCCAGGGACCTATGTTGTTGGCACAGTTCTCAATTTCATGCTCTCTAAGGTGGTTTGGGGGGTTTATGGTTCTTTGTTTGTTTTGGTTTTAGAGTCAATAAAGTAATGTTTGTAATTACTTCATCTGAACTGGTCCCCAACACTCATACCCCATTCTTTGGGGCCAAGAAACTGGGAAGTAGTCTTTGATACTAGCTAGTAGCCTAACTAGCCTAAGTCTTCCTTATAGGTTCCCAGTTGCCCCAGCCCCAGGCCTGCCATCCAGTCCCCACCAGGCAGTATCAGAGGAGGACATGGCTGTTCTTCCAGTGTGACCAGGTGGTTTCTCTAGTCAAAGTGGCCTGAACAATGAGATACTTACACGGTAGAACCAATGCCTAGCATGAACAAGGGCTTGGTCTTAATCCCAGCCACACACACATACACACACATACTCCTCCCCCCC